GACTTCCCTGTGCCAGCCCTTTGAGAGTACAAAGCCTCTCCCCCATGCCATTTCTTCAGTGTGGGGAGGGGGGGTGGACACAACTCTGCCAGGCAGTTTTGACTCCAAGCAAGCGCTCAGCCAAACTTTGTCAGCACTGAGGCCCACCACGACTCCCTCCTCTACCTGGGTATCTACCCTATACCCACCTTCTCCCCTGACCTGAGGCACCTCAAGTCTTCCTGCCCTCGCCCATTCCCCCTCTCAGCCCCCCCCCCTATGCTTCCACACAGTGGACAAGACCACTCCCCGCAATGTAATCCCTGCAGGGCCGCCTGAGCAGGCCACCCCAACAGTCACACCATTGACAACAACCTGTGCTTGTCGCTGCTCTTAGATTCTACTCTGAAGGGTTTTCCTCCGGGGGATGGCCTTTCCAATGTGTGAAAGGCAAGTTACATCACTGAGCTGCCCAGAAGGCCAGCTGTAACCTGGCTCCTGCCTACTTGTCAACCACATATTCTACCATGCTGCCCCTTGCTAATGTGGTTCTCAACTTTCCTAAAGCTGCGACCCTTTCATGTTGTGGTGACCCCCCAAACCATAAAATTATTTTCGTTGCTACTTCATAACTATAATTTTGCTGCTGTTATGAATTAGGCGACCCCTGTGAAAGGGTCGTTTGACCCCCAAAGGGGTTGCGACCCACAAGTTGAGAACTGCTGCCTTATTCAGAGCAGCTTCTTCTAGGACTCTAGCCCCTGCCAAGAGCTCCAACTTTGTCTCTGATCTCTGTGCTCCCCCCGCCTCCACCTAGTTAAGGCTGAGGCCAGATTTTATCCTGGGGATTGAGCATGTTGACTAGAGTCCACTTCAGAATCTTGCAGGCTCTAGCACATTTTCCCAGCAGCACGATGTGTTCTTTGACGCTGCCGAGGGTGTTCACCTCCATTTTGGCCTGGTTCACTCTTAATAGACCTTTAACAACAGCTTCTGTTCAGGGACACAGATGATCCTTATGTTGGATTCTCTTTTTCTCTCTTCCAGTGCTATTAGCTTCCCTCTAATTGCTTTAGCTTTTGTCTTTTTATCTGCGTTCCCTGTGTTTTATCTAATTTGATTTTCAGTGATATACAGGGTCTGTTTCTGGCTGGTTTGGGTGTATTCATCTGGTAATGGTGTGTTTTGGTCTATAGCTTATTTCTGTAGGGGGGGGTTGCCCTTTTCATCTTCTCCTGTTTCAGTTTCGTGCACTTTGAGTTTTCTGCACTTCTGGGTCGGCATCAGGCTTCCAGGGTCATCTCCCACACTGTGTCTGTTTGTTCCCCTTGGGGCTGACTCGGAGAGCTCTGGGCTCTTCTTCTGTTGCTAGTTGTTGGCTTCCTTCTTCCCAGTGGCTGGCCCTCCCTTTCTCTGTTACTCTTTGGGCTGGTTATATGGGTGGGGGTACTTTGATGGTTAGCAGCCCAATGCTTAACCACAGCCACAATCAAACAAAAATCCCTGCCATTGAGTCAGTGTTAACTCATAGTGACTCCCCATCCCTGAGAATAATGAGCAAGGCCAATTGCTGCACATGTGCCTGTCCTAGGCATTGACCAGTCACAGGGGCATCTGTTTGCCCCTTAGTGTGGCTGACCTTTCCTCCACATAGTGTCACCCAGTGTTTGTCACACCAGCTCGTGGAGCAGCGCTTCTTGCACTCTTGTCGTGTGGCTGTGCACGCTTTGTGTACCCAGCCATCTGCTGGTAAACGCTGGGCTTGTGTCCACGTCTGAAGTGGTATGAACAGAGCTGCTATGTGCATGAGGGTACAACTCCTTGTGTGGATGTGTATTATCACTTCTAGGGAAGGAATTGTTTCATCTGGGAACTCGTGTAACCTTCTGAAAGACTGGCCAACCCTTTCTCCCAACTGTGCGCCCGTAAAGGAGAGAGTAGCAGATGTGCCACCGGTTGCTTTTACTTAACCAGGCATCTCCCTTTTGTTGGCAAAGCTCTGCTCCTTTAAGTTTTCGGGATCTTAGACCGCCTCTTGGCCAGAGATTGGGGGTGGGTGGGGGAAGAGTAGCTGTGAATCTGGGTGGACTTCAATCCCCTACAGCCTCAGGCCACCCCATTTGCTCCTGTTATCAGCTCCCCGTCTTCAGATCTGACAGGGTCAGAAGCTGGCATCCTAGTGTGTACTGCTGCTGTGGGCAGTGCTGAGATGCTGCACTGCTCTGTGTGTCACAAAGGGGAAGGAGACGTGCAACCCCAAAGGGCCAAGAGCCAGAGTTGAACTCTGCTGCCGGCAGAGCAGCCTCGGGACACACATGCCTTCAAAGTGCCATCTGCAGATAGGCCTGGAAGTTAAGCCTCCTGAGCTGATCCACCTGCCACCTTCCCCTAACAGGCAACCTTCCCTTGCTGTCACTGTGCCACAGGAGGACTTTCCTCATTGAGACACCTTTTCCTGCCCAGGGACCAACGGGCACCACGTCCCCAAGACAACTAGCAGCAGGTCCACAGCAGTAAGCTTCATAGTGGCTCCAAAGTGGGCTGAACCCAAGGGGCCCAGGCAGATGAAAGGACCTACATAACGCGCTTTGGCCACAGCCTGATGGTGTGGCTGAGAAAGTGTATGCTGAGAGCAAGAAGCCCTTCCCGCCGGCTGGGTCTACTTACGTGAACTACCTGAAGGGCTGAAAGAGCCAGTGTCTGGAGACAGTCGTTGATTAGTGAGGATCCGGATGGGGCACTACTGCTGAAGGTGCACTGACTATCTGTTGAGTGAGTGGAAACTTCTGGACCCAGAAGGTGATCCTGGCATAAGGCAAATGGCCTCATAGTCCCTGACGGTGCCCTTGACAGTGGTTCAAGTGTCATGTTTTGATGATACCAACTTTATGCTCACTTAAAAAGCATGGGCTGGAGACGCCTGCTGAGTCCCCAATTGGTCCAAGCACAGGCCCCAGCAGTGCTGCGGGGGGCTGTCCATACAGCATGCTGGGAAGTGTACTCTTCTTCACGGAGTCCTGCAATCTCAAGGGTACTCTTCAGTGGTTGGGAAGCTTGCCGGTCATGGCTGGAACATGCCGATTTCGCCCAGTGCAGCTGCCCCTTGTGAGAAGAGGAGGAAAGAGGGGAGCATAGCATGATCAGAGCACTGATGATAGAGAGAGGTGCTTTGTGTCTTAGGGAAAACGTGTTTCCACAAGTCCCATAAACCCCTGTGCTGGTGGGGCTGCTTCTCCTCCCACACACAGAGAGAGACCCCAGGGTGGACGCATTAGAGGAAACAAAGTACCCTCACCTCTCAGGTGACCTTTTCCTGCCAGGCCCTTCTATGGGCTGAGACATTCATTTTAAGCATCTTTTTTGAGAAAGAGAAGTGGCGGTCAGAAAATAAAAGTGCCTGAGCGTCCTTCAGTGAACAGAATCAGAAATCACCACAGGGTCATATTTGCATGAAGTCGCTTTTAACTGAAAAGAAATGAAAAAAAAAAAAAAGAATTTCACAGTCAAAGTGAAAGGCCCCACAGCCTTCACCATGCTGCCAGCCTCCCTCATGCACTGCCGTCCCCTTGAATGCTCTGACCGCCCAGCTTCTCACCGTTCTCCTTGCAGCCCCTTACCCTTCCTCCTGAGGGCAGAGGGCACCCCGAGCTGCCCTGGGGGCACCCGTTCTGAATTGGCACCTGCTCCTTTGATGGTGTGTCTGTACCTTTGTAGGATAGAGAGCTCTCTCCTTATGTACCAGGAGGTCTTCTCCTGGGACCCTACAGTTTCCAAATGGGCACCAAGGCTCGACTACTGCCACAGGCATCCCACCCTTTTTTTCTTGGCCACCTCTGAGCTGCTCCGCAGGAGGATTTGAAACACCTGCATAGGTTAGAATTGACAGCACTGACCAGTGGCTTGTTGGCTTGCCTGACATTTGCATTTCTCAGTGTCGGGGGACTCTCATCAGGCTCTGCTGTGCAGGCTGGAGAGGGTGGCACCCTCAGACCTCTGACCAGCACCGTGGCCACCAAGGTAATGCCCTTTTGGCATGCCTTGCACAGCTTGGGCTTGTGGGGTACAGCTGCCCTATGGCTCAATTATCAAAGTTATGGATCCAAGGGGACTTTGGGGGCTGTCCTTTGGAAACCTCGCAGGAAGGCGATCCCAGGCTTGATGACTGTCTTCTGAGAGATGGGAACTCTTCTGCCTCGTGTCTCCCCTGGGCGCTGAGGGGGCATGGCCAGTTTCAGGTATCCTTTTCAAACAAAAACTTGCACATTTTCGTCCCAACCTTGTTCGTTCTTGGAGACCGCCTCCTCCCACTTTCCTGGGGGTCACTACCCTTGGGTTGTATTTAACAAGCATTCCTTGTGGCTTTTCCTTGATGTCATGGTGTTGGGATTATCGGGATACTAGAAATGAGCTCCCTAGAGAGCCCTGCCTTCTCAGAGCTCCTTCGGGATATGGAAGGTTCTGGGCTCCGCAGGCCACTGTCGTGTGTGGCTGACCGTGCCCAGCTTCCCAGGCACTTTGTCATTTCCTGGCAAAAAGCTGAGACTCAGAAATGCAAGCCACTTGGTCAGACACTAATGGAAGCCTGTTTTCCAGCTGTGTAGCCAGCGCATGCCGCTCCCAGGAGACAGAAGAATGCTCGGCTGAGGACACAAGACAAGAATGGTCTTGCCCTTTGCAGTAGCTAGTAGCTCATTCCTAGAGGAAGGGACGGTTCATGGCCACTCTCGGCATGGCCTGTACTCTTGCCCACCTCAGCCTGCAGGTGGCCACTTGGTGACCTGGCCCCAGTGTCCCAGAGTTGGCAAGGCAGATGCCTCGCTTGTCCACATCTGAGGGGTGCTTTGCCTTTGGGGGGAGAGGCTCCTCTCTGGCCCTCAGGCTTCCTTCTTGCACAGGTGTCCCCCTTGATTCTCAGACGCTGAGGTGCAGGGTGCTGTTGGGGTATGAGGTGTGGGGTTTGATGGCGCTCGGAGGGTGGGTTCTGCCTGGTGGGTACTTAACGTGCTCATTTAATACTTCAGGGAGGAAAAGTCGGAAGACCAAGACCTCCAGGGCCTCAAGGACAAACCCCTGAAGTTGAAGAAGTTGAAGAAGGATAAGAAGGAAGACAAAGAGGGCAAACATGAGTCTCTCCAGCCGTCTGCCCACCACTCTGCTGAGCCCGCCGAGGCTGGCAAGGCCGAGACCTCTGAGGGGGCGGGCTCAGCCCCGGCTGTTCCAGAGGCCTCAGCCTCCCCGAAACAGCGGCGCTCCATCATTCGTGACCGGGGACCCATGTACGATGACCCCACCCTGCCTGAAGGTTGGACACGGAAGTTGAAGCAAAGGAAATCTGGCCGCTCGGCTGGGAAGTATGATGTGTATTTGATCAAGTAAGTGAGCGCCACTGGTGGGGTGGGACTGGACCAGCTACCAAGTATGGTTGAGTGACGTGGGCAGGTGCTTCTTTTGGGCCTCGTGTTCTCACCTGGAACGTGGGAGAGCAAGTAGAGGCAGACGAGGCCCCAGGGAACAGAACAGTGCTTGGCATGTTAGGCCCCGAGGACTCTCAAGGGCATGTGTCTGCTTCAGGCGGGGCCCACCCCAGTCCCCCTGGAGAATGCTACCTGTCTTCTTTCTCGGGAGCAGCAGGTGCCAGGGCGCCCAGTCTAGTCTGATGCTCTGAGGATCCATCTGGGCAAAGGTATGCCCTCAGCACTGTCTGGTCTTTTCAGCTGGCCCCTTCCTAGCTGTCCAGCCATGGGCTGCCAGTTGGGTATGCTCAAATGACACATAGTAACTTGTAAACTGAGTTTCAGAGGAGCAGGGGCTCAATGAGTTCAGTTAGGCACCTTGAAGTGATCCAAAAAAGGTTAGGGATTTTCATGCGGTATCATTTGCTTACACTCAGCCCCAACCTCACAATTCCCAATTAGCAAATTGTCCCATTCACTGAAAACACTGGAGTGCTTTCCTGACCTCGTGCCTGCCCAGTTCCCAGCAGATGTTGCAAGAAGCTAGTTTTTGATTTGCTGGGACTTTGTAGAATCTTACTACCACGGGACACTGTCCATCAGCTCGGAGACGAAGAGTCAGAGGGCATGTTCCTATCGACAGCTGAGGAAACAGATGCCAGCTTGCCCGAGCTCAGCTGGGGGACTATTCTAGCAGCATGTCAGGTGCCTGCTGGAGCCTGTGGGCGGGAGTGGGGGGAGCAGGTGGGTGCCAAAAGCACACCAGGGCTCCTCTGGACTGAGCCAACGTGGCCAGGTCAAGCTGTTCACCCACTAACCGCTCTCTGTGTCTCTCTGTTTCCCCAGCCCCCAGGGCAAAGCCTTCCGCTCTAAAGTGGAGCTGATTGCCTACTTCGAAAAGGTAGGCGACACCTCCCTGGACCCTAATGATTTTGACTTCACGGTCACAGGGAGAGGGAGTCCTTCCCGGCGAGAGCAGAAACCACCTAAGAAGCCCAAATCTCCCAAAGCCCCAGGGACTGGCCGAGGCCGGGGACGCCCCAAAGGGAGCGGCAGTGCAAGACCCAAGGCAACAGTGGCCGAGGGTGTGCAGGTGAAGAGGGTCATGGAGAAGAGCCCAGGCAAGCTCCTGGTCAAGATGCCTTTCCAAGCCACAGGGGGCGGCAAGGCGGAGGGCGGCGGGGCCACCACCTCCACCCAGGTCATGGTCATCAAGCGTCCTGGCAGGAAGCGGAAAGCCGAGGCTGACCCTCAGGCCATTCCTAAGAAGCGGGGCCGGAAACCTGGCAGCGCAGTGGCAGCCGCCGCAGCTGAAGCCAAGAAGAAGGCGGTGAAGGAGTCTTCCATCCGCTCTGTGCAAGAGACCGTGCTCCCCATCAAGAAGCGCAAGACCCGGGAGACAGTCAGCATCGAGGTCAAGGAAGTGGTGAAGCCCCTGCTGGTGTCACCCGTGGGCGAGAAGAGCGGCAAAGGACTGAAGCCCTGCAAAAGCCCTGGACGGAAAAGCAAGGAAAGCAGCCCCAAGGGGCGCAGCAGCAGCACCTCCTCACCCCCCAAGAAGGAGCACCACCACCACCACCACCACTCGGAGCCTCCCAAGGCCCCCGCGCCACTGCTGCCACCCCTGCCCCCGCCTGAGCCCAAAAGCTCCCAGGACCCTCAAAGTTCCCCAGAGCCTCAGGACTGCCGCGAGGAGAAGATGGTGCCTCGAGGAGGCTCCCTGGAGAGCGATGGCTGCCCCAAGGAACCAGCTAAGACTCAGCCCGTGGTGGCTCCTGCTGCCACCGCTGCTGAAAAGTACAAACACCGAGGGGAGGGCGAGCGGAAAGACATTGTTTCGTCCTCCCTGCCGAGGCCGAGCAGAGAGGAGCCCGTGGACAGCCGGACGCCCGTGACAGAGAGAGTCAGCTGACTGTCTGCGTCGCGGGTGACAGAGCAAACCAAGCCAAGCAAAGGCAGCTGGTGTCTCTTCTCCTTCCGGGTAGGGCTCTGACAAAGCTTCCCGATTCACTGAAATAAAAAAGGGGGGGTTTTCTTTCAGTAAACTTAGAGTTTCGTGGCTTCGGGGTGGGAGTAGTTGGAGCATTGGGGTGTTTTTCTTACCGACAAGCACAGTCAGGTTGAAGACCTAACCAGGGCCAGAAGTCGCTTTGCACTTTTCTAAACTTGGCTCCTTCCGCGAGGCTTGCTGCAGATACTACTGACCAGACAAGCTGCGCCTATACCTGCCCCCCACCCCCACCCCTTTGTACCCCGTCTGGGCCAAGAGTGGCACCCTACTGGTGGGCGTTGGGAGCAGAGAGCAGTTTAGAAACACACACACACACACACACACACACACACAGTTTTCCGTGCCATTGGTGCCCGGCACCCACCCTGCCCACACTTCCCCAGCCCCTCACAGTTCCCCCTCTAAACTCACCCATGGCGTATCACTTCCCAGAACAGGAGCCTAGCCCCTGCCCCCTCCAGTCCTGGCATGGCCTGGCAGGAGTTGTCTTGTGCCTGGCCTGAGCCAGGGATCCGTAGCACTGTCCACTCTCGGGAGACACTTTCCAGAGGGAGGCACTAGAGAGAGCAGCCAGGGAGGCAGCCACCTGAAGCCAAGCCCAGAGGTAACCAGGCCCAGGGCAGTGAGCAGGTCGGCTTCCTGGGCCCAGGCCATCTTCCACATGGTGGACTATGCGGGGCAGGACATCACTTCTTCCGGTTATTCCCGAGTTCTACTCCTTTAGGGACAGCTAGAATGACTTGCACTATCTCAAAGAGGGTGCCACCTGAAGCGACGGTGTTGAGATTTCCTGTGTCCGGATGTAGCGGCGCTTGTTTTAAAGTGGGACTGGCACATGGGGTTCCCACGAAGCTTCGAAACTCTAAGTGTTTGCTGCCATTTTGTAAGGACTTCCTGATTGTGTTTTCTTCTTCCTCCCTTCCTTGGACCTTTTTGATTTCTCCCTTCCCCTCCCTCCTCCTGTCTCCTCCTTTCTGGCCCCTTAGCTAACGCTTGTCAGCCCCGTAGATGCCTCCCTGCCCACCTGCCCCTTTGCTTCTTGCTGCAGCCCCAGCCCCACTCGGCTTGGCTCTGCTCTCAAGCCCTAGCCCCGCAGGGCCTCTCCACCGAGAACCAGAGAGCAACACGTGCTCCTTCTCCCAGGTAGCCCTTCCTTCCTGCCTTCCGGGTAAGAGAGAAACCCGACGCTCGTCCAGCCCTGAATAGCGAGCCTCGAACACTTCCACTCCGGAGAAGGGGGGCAGACGTGTTTGCCACCAGCCCAGCCGCGGCTTTTGGCCAACTCAACCTAGCTCCTCCCCATGTACCCCAGCCGGGACCGAGCGCGCCCTGTCCCAGCCCAGCCCATGCTCCTGTGCCACCATGTGGGGCCAGGCTTGCAGCAGGCTTGGGCCAGGCAGCGGTTTTTCTTTGGGTTCCTGTCTCCCAGAGCTCTGTCCGGAAGTCCTTGTCTAGCTGCAGATCTTCATCATATTGGTATACCCTTTTCTGTGTTTACAGAGATCTCTCTCCTATCTAAATCTGTCCAACTGAGAAGTACCTTATCAAAGTAGCAAAACGAGACAGCAGTCTTATGCTTCCAGAAACACCCATAAGCACGTCACCTGTGAGCTGCTGCAGTGACCTGTCAAATGTGTGTTGTCTTGTGTGTTTCCGTTCTTGTCCCAGCGGAGTGAGACATCACAGAGCACATAGCCGTCCTTGCCAGTTGTAGTGTCAGGAGTCATAGTGACAGTTCCAATCTGTAGCGTAAGATAAAGCAGTGTTTGTCTCTTCCTGAGTGGTTAGAAGCAGGGAGTCTACCCCGTTCGGTTTGTAGTCCTAGCTGGCCACCTCGGCCTGTTTGTACCCCTTTTCCTAATGCTCTAACACCCACCCCACCCCATTCCCAGCTCAGCTGCCCGTGCTCGCTTTGGGACCTTCCCACTCCTCCCAGGAAGGGATAAAAGGTTCTCTCGAGCTCCAGAGGACACCTGCCATGTGTATGCGGTGTCCGGCCAGTTGGTAATGGCGAAACTCTGGGATGGTATAGTTTTGAGGCAGTGCAGTGTGGCTGTTGGGAGGCCAGCTCCCCGCACACCCAACTGCATCCTCTCGAGCCTGTGGCCAGGGCTAAGCAGTCCTCGTGCCCTTTATGCTCCATCCCAAGTTTCCTCTTCTGCCCCAAGTGAAAGGAGGCAGCAGGAGGTGGTTGCCTGCATCAGCTGCCAGTGACCCTGTGGCTACCCTGCCTGGTGGACAGATGGAAACATCCTTAACTGCTATGTCCTTTGAGCACTGGGGGGTTGGGGAGCCCCTCATTGTCTTTGTGAAGAAGACAGCTTTTACAGGCACAGTCACCTCTGCCCTTGGTCCAGGTATTGTTTCCCTGACCCCAATCTGCCCCCAGCCAGGGGACTTGTCATCAGTGGAATCATCAGCCTTGAGTGGTGCCAGCCAGGCACAAGTACAGGAGCACCCCAAAATGCCTCATCTGTCTGTCATTGCTCTGGAGGGTACCTGAGAGGAGGGTTGTTGCCAGAAACCAACTGTCCTGTTGGATTGGGCTACAGATGAGGGCTGAAGGTCTGCACTGAGCCTCCCCTTCAGCCCCTTCCCCCCCTCCAGTGGGCAGCCGGGGCTGAGCATCCACAGGCACCCCCTCGTCCCCACTCCCCACGCTTGCTGTGCGCGCTCCACTGTGTGTTCTGCTCTTAGCTCCATGTCTGATTGTTAGAAATCACTAGGCTACGCCTCCTCCAGGGTCTATAATTACACATGAACACTGAAACCAGTTCTCAAGAATTAGAAGGAGAACCTAGAAAACAGTTGACAGAAAATGACATTTTGATGTTCTGAATGAATAAGAGCAAACTTCTGCAAAGATGCTGATGTAAAACTACTTGGAGCTGGGCCGAAAGCCACCTGTGCTGTGTGTCCCCGAGGAGCTGGCCTCTGACTTGCCCTTGGGAGTTGGGTACAGAGGTTTGCATAGGAGCCCAGCTCTTGGTGTGGCCATGGAGTGTCCCTGATGACTCAGCAGGCCACCTGCTGGCCCCGCCCTCCTTCCTGCTCCTTCTCTTGATGGAGCCCATACCAGACACTGGCCTCTGCCTGCTGTTTGTCCTGGCCCCGGGGACTCCTGGTCACCTCTGTCCCCTGGGCCAGTCTTCCCAGCCTCTCACTCCTCAGCGTCTTAGGGTCCAGAGTGCTGGGAAGCCAGCCCTTGCCTTGCACCTGCCCGCCACCTGGAGCCACTTGCTCCACTTGTGGGGTGGGGGTGGGGGTGGGGGTGGAGCCAGGGACAGGGACGGAGGCAGGACAGGTGCAAGGAGAGCAGCCCCTACCAGTCCAGTCTGCTCCCTGGCCCCGGGTCCAGTGACGCCCCGGCCTGGGGCTGGCTTTGTTTTGCTTTTAGTTCTGCCTTTAGTTCTTCTGTCCCTTTTATTTAATGCACCAACTAGACACAAGAAGCAGTGGACTTTTTCTATATATATCTGTATATTGCACAATTATAAACTCATTTTGCTTGTGGCGCCACACACAAAAGACCTGTTAAACTGATAGCTGTTGCTTAATTACAATATTTCTGATAACCATAGCATAGGTCACAGGAAAATAAAAAACAAAAAACAAAAAAACCGACAACTCTGTCTGCTGGTCACTTCTCCTGCTCGTGTCGCCAGGGCAGGCGCCTGTGCTTGTGAGATGTGTCCCAGGTGCCCTGGACCTGGGGCCACCAGAGTGTAGCCCGCTCTGCGGGGGGCGGGGGGCGCCGGAGCCGATGGGAAGGTGGGGTGGTGGTGGAGTGGGGCCAAGCGCCCCGGGGGCTGGAGGGGAGATGGGAAAACCAGGCGCCAGGGCAAGTGTGCGAAGACTCCAGAACCACCGTGTCTGCCCCTCAATGAGCAATATCTGCTACAGAGTTGAGCTGTAACCGTTCTTTTTGATCTTTTTTTATCTTAAAAATAAAACACCAAAAAAGGGAGAAAAAAAAAAACAAACACAAAAATAAATCCAGAAACTTGTTCTTCCAAAGCAGAGAGCAGTTAGAAGCACCAGGGCCCAAAGCTCCTGCCCCTGTTCCCCCTGCACTCCCCTCTTCCCGCTGCTTCTAAGACCTGAGGTCACTAGTGGAGCAGCTCCAGCCGTGGGGTGCAATGGGGTGGATAGGGGGCTACACAGTGCCCTCATGGCTGGGGTGCAGTATTAGCAGGTGGAGAGCAGGTCCCTTGTGTCCCTGCTCTCAAGTTTTCCCATAAGTCTGTAGCCCCAGCGGCCAGAGAGGACCCCCTCAAGTGTTTGTGGGTGCAAATGGGTCACAGGACTGGAAGGCCATGTACTCCCTGGCCTCCAAGGCTGCCCCTTCAGTTTGATTGACTTCCTGCTGCAGTCATTGACAGCCGCACCAGAGTCCGTAGTTGATGAATTATGACCAAATATGACCAGGACTGTTAATACCCGAGGGCCAAGCCCGTCCTGTCCTCGGCCGGCCATGTAACCGGCCACTAGAACGCGGCTGTGTGCCCTGCCCCGCCCTACCCTGCCCTTGCCTTGTCTTTCTGGGGGGTTCTGTTTGGGTTTGGTTTGGATTTGAGTTTCCCTTTTGTGTTCCGAACATGAGACACTCTTAACTGTGGTGTTGAGGCTTCTGTTTGTGTCGTCGTGGTGGGTGAGAGGAACTGCGCTAAGTAAATCTCTTCTGTGTTTGAACTGAAGTCTGTATTGTAACCTTGTTTTAAAGTAATTGTCCCAGAGACAAAGGCTTCTGGACCCTAGCCGTTGACCAACAATTAGCCTTTGGTGGGAGGGGGCAGGCCGGAGAGGGGACCCTTGCCTAGTGGCACATGGCTGTGATCATGCAAACCCCAGTACATTCTTCAGGCTTCACCCGTACCCCACCCCCTTCTAAGATCATTAATGTCACATCATTTATTTTTTTAAAATTTTTTAGGAAGGCTGATCCTGTGAGGGAAACCGGGAGGGAAGGGAAGGGAGGGCAGGTGCCTGGAGTTGAGTGCTCCCCACCCAAAGCCGCTCTTGACCTGATCATCCCCCTCGGACGTGCTCATGGAAAACACATGCCTGCCCCCTCGGTGGTCACTGGTATACATCAGCCTGTCCACAGGTAACAGGGGCTTGGATAAGGTCTCTGACTAGCGTAGTCAGAGAAGCTAGTCGAGGTTCCTTCAGGACTCCTGTGATGCCCCTGTGCTCCTTGAGTGTCCGGCAGTCTCCCCTCCCTAAAGGCCAAGAGCAGAGTTGGCTGTGGTAGGCACTGGTGGGGCGGTGGGGCAGGAAGAGTGGAGAATGTAGAAGAATCAGGGTGCAGTCACACTCCCTGTGACATGCACTACCAGCCCCAAAGCCCAGCTAGGGTTGGGAGACACAGGTGGGGGCACCCAAGGCAGACTCAGCCAGAGCAAGCCTCAAAGGCCTCGATTGCCCTTTGGTTTTTGTGTTTTGGGACAATTACTTTAGAAAATAAGTAGATCGTTTTAAAAACAAAAAATATTGATTGCTTTTTTGTAGTGTTAAAAACAAAAAGGTTCTTTGTGTATAGCCAAATGACTGAAAGCACTGATATATTTAAAAACAAAAGGCAATTTATTAAGGAAATTTGTACCATTTCAGTAAACCTGTCTGAATGTACCTGTATACGTTTAAAAACGCCCCCACGGAATCCCTGTAACCTATTTATTATATAAAGAGTTTGCCTTATAAATTTACATAAAAATGTCCGTTTGTGTCTTTTGTTGTAAAACCCAGTGATTTTTCATAAGGTTCTTTGACTATTTGAAAAGATGGGCAGCACGCAGTTTTATTTTATTTTTGTAAGGTTTTTAATACATGTGAAGCAAAGAATACGCAGCATGCCTTTCTAAGTGATGCGTTCGCACCTTTTGTTGGGAAGTACTGTATTCCTGTGCTGTTAGCATTCTCGATAAATCTCTCTGTGAAAGTGACTCAAGGTCTGGGCTTTCATTGCAAGACAGAAGTCCCCTCCTGGTCAGAGGCTGCACAGGGCCATGGCCTCCATGGCTGGTTGGCAGAAAGGAAGGGGCACTTCAACCTGGGGCCTCGCTGGCTGCTGACTCAGGGTGCTCCTGCCTTGAGTGCCATGAGGAGCCCTGAAAGGGGGAGGACAGGCCTGCTAGCTGGCATGTTTAAAAGCAACCCGGGGGGTGGGGGGGTGGGGGGGGGCACGGGCGCCCATCCTGGTAGCTCCTGCAGGCTGCATGCTTGTGGGCCTTTCCCCCGGCTCTGCTGCCTGGGCCCCAAGCCACTTGTATCCTCTTCATTGGCCTTTGCTGCTTGGTGACCAGGTCTCTTGACCTGGCAAGGACATGGGGAGGGACTGCCCTGGGGGCAGGGCACTTGCCAGAAGCAGACAAGGGGTACAGGCCTGCCCCCCCATCCCTGGTTTCTGGTTGGATTTGGGCTCCACCCTTAGGAGCTGCAGACCAAAGGCACTGCACACACACATGCACACTGCCCTGCGCCTCCCTCCCCCCAATGTCTCCAGGCTGTTCCAGTAGCTGAGAGCCTGCCTGAATGAAGAAGTGGCCTGAGTCCCTGCCCCCAAGGAACTGTGCACGAGCTCATCTCAGATGCTAGGGTAGTGTCTCAGGAAGGACTAGTCCCAGCAGCCAGAGAGGTTCCATGGAAATGAAGTGTGGGCCCTGCAGGGCGGACTGGCCTTAGGAAACAGCTGCTCAAAGGGACAGCCCTGCTCTTGGAATCTCCCCCATCTTGTGGGTTGGTGGCCAGGTGTGCCTGGGGAATGAGGATGCTAAAGGGTGGTCCAGGAAGGGTTCACCACTGCTCTTGAAGCTGTCTCGGGGAGCCAAGGGTTTTGCTTGATGGACAAGGAGAAGGTACCAGGCTAAGCCAGTGGCACATGCAGCCCCCTGGCCTGTTGGCAGAGCCCTGCTCTGGGGGAGCCAGGACCTCCCTGAAGTGTGAGCAGCAAACAAGGTAAGGCGGGCAGTGGACTGGGCCTTGGAGACCTGGGGCTGATACCGGGAAGCTGGTGGCTGCTATAATGGGGTGGAATGAGGGAGGCATAGCCTTAAGGAGAATAGGCAAAAGATACATGGGTCTTAGAGGTCAAACTAGTCAGGCAAGGAGTTTGATGGCAACTAGGGCTGGGGAGCAGGGTGGGGTGTCAGTAGTGGTGTGGGGTTACGGGTTGACCTGTGATCTGCAAGGTCAGCAGTTCAAAACCAACCAGTCAGTCCCTCCACAGGAGAAAGATGGGTTTACAGGGGCAGTTCTACCCTGCCCTCTAGGGATTACTTTGAGTCTGTATCCACTCCATGGCACTAAGAATTTGAGGAGTGTGACTGCCAAGGGGAGCCCAAGGGCTGAAGGGGGGAGGGGAGGAGGCAGCAGTGAGGACTGGCATCTGCTGCAGCCGGTCAGGCAGGAGGGAATGGAGCCCCAGGGGGCCTTTCCGGAACAGAAACAGACAACCTGGCCTCCGCCTAGCAAATAAGCCAGGGTCCAGCCGCAGCCACCTGGAAGCACTTTCCATTCCTGGGCACCGTGCCTCCGCTGAGGCCTGTCTCCTGGCCCCGGGAGGCCGGACCATCTGGCTCCCTCGCTGGCCCGGCCGCCTCGCATAGCTAGGGCAGCGACTGGGGCCGGACGCGGGCGCCCCTGTGTGGTCGAGGCGCGCGCTGCGGCGGCCTCGGAGATGGC